TGACCAGAATTTGACGTCAAAATGACGTGTGTTTGCTACCTGGGCCTGTATGATAAGTTACGCTGGCGATATTAAAAAATTATTAAATTGTTAAATAATTAAATATCGTGTCTTAAACTTAAAATATGTATAAGATATGAAATTTTATCTTTAGCCTTATCTTTTTACATATACATCGTGTATGTATATACATGTATATATATTTATATAATATGTATTATATGAAAATTTAAAATAGTAATATAGACATTTTAAATTTACCAAAATATTTGTTTCCAGAGAACCGTTTATTTCCGTTCCACATAACAAGGAATTGTGATATGTTGCGTGTCACGTTACGCCCAACGTCGGCTCGTTAGTTCTTAATCGAAATCGCATCCTTCGATCTCTCGTCGTACCATGTGTCATTATGTACTCATCCAAATTACGGCAATTAACCATTGCTGGAACAAATTTCGCTTTTTGCAACGAGAAAGGGTCTGTAAATACTACGGTGCGTTCCATATTACGTGTGGCCAGGCTCAGATTTAAAAATGGGCTTGGTATGTTCGCTAACGATAGAAAATAAAGATAAAATAAAGTAAAATTTATACGTATAAAGGTAAAATAAACATTTGTTTATATTTAACTTATACTCCAGGAAAAAATAAATTAAAGTAAATTTTTCCAGTTGTTTTTTACAATAAATTTTTTTTCTATATTTTCATTATTTTATCAGACAGAAGAAAAATTTTTTCTAGCATGAGCGTAATTGGCTCCAAAATAAATTGTATATTCAACGTAAAGACGATGAAACTTTGTTACCGTAATTATCTTATATTACTGCAATCTCTATTTTCGAAAATTGTTACTAATAATGAATTACATTTGTTCAGAGAAATTTATTAAAACAAATTTAATTAACTATTAAATAATAACAACATGTCTCTAATAGTTACATTTTACATTTACTGTTACAACGAAACGTAACAACTTGTTTTGTATATTCAGCAAAATTATGTTTAGCAAATGAAAAAAATTAATAGATATTCGTAAGAAATCGTTTCGCTATCAGTAAGTAAGCACATTAGACAGCACAAAATGTGCGAAGTAGTAATTTTGTGCTGTCCGACTGAAGGCTCGAGCACATTACAAATCGCGATAGAAATGTGTAAAATTAACAATAAAAGACAAGACTATGTCCTAAATGGAATGTCGCGTTGAGCAGCAAGGCGATTGAACCTGACCCAGTGAGGCGGTCCCCGAGTTCCCTGAATTCCGAGTATTCAAGAAGCGGACTGAAGCGGACACACACGGGCTCACGATATATCAGCGCGCCGTAGGTCGCGACTTGACCTACAGTCTGAAACTGCGAGCCATGGTCTTTCTCTCGTCAGGCTGAACGCGGAACGCGAGTTATGGCTTATGGCGCATCGCGCCGAGGAAGAAGTGAAGAACCCGAAGAAGACGAGGACTCGCTGGAGTCGCTGGAGAGGCAGCCGAGACGCCGAGAGAGGCGACGCGACGTGCACGGTGCACACAGCACACGTGCACCTCGGGGCATTCGCGGGTTGGCACTGTTGGCAGTGTTGGCAGTCGGTTCTCGAAAGCCGCCCGGTGAATGCCACTCGTAGCTCTCAAACGCGCGTTTTTTCCAACCTCTCGACTCTCGATTGCATCTAGAGGGGTTCGTGTCTAGCGGCTGTGCTGTAAAATTGTTAAATTTCGCACCAAGGGAAATGTTACCGAGAGGGAATCTCACACGAAATGGGGGAGGGATGTAGGGGAGGGCAAGTGACGATATTTTTAACTGATAATTTTTACGATGGTAATGTACGCTACTGAATGTTAACGCGAGAAGGGACGAGAGAGAAAGAGAGAGAGAGAGAGAGAGAGAGAGAGAGAGAGAAAGAGACCGAGACAAGTGCGAGGGCGGTGTGTTGAGTGTGATTTTTAACAAGTGCTAATCTCTTCGATGTAGAGAAGTCAGCTTCGTTTCGCGTCACGTTGCGGCGCGGTGGTCTACGGGTTGGTGTTAAAATTGATGCTACGGATGGGATAAATGATTTCTACTATAAATATATTAAAGAAAGAGAGAAAGGAAGAGAGATAGAGAATTCAATAGGATTGTTTACTTGGAACATTTGAAATCGTTCTTTGTTCCAATCTTCTTACATAAGAATGTTACTGAATACTGTAGTTGCGTTAATAGTCTCGTAAGTCTATAATGCTTCATACAGATGTGAGTAAAGTACTCCGTAATTACTGAAATATTCTTAAAAGAATATTATAATGTCACTTTATTAATCAAACGCGTTATTGAATTAATATTAAACTTACTTTTATTTTAAACTATGTATTATTGTTACATAGTTTCACTCAATGATTTTAATATCCACGCGCATACATATTTTATATTTTTCACTGTACATAAAGTACAAAATGTGTACTGACACACAGAAGGAATGATTTTGATGAAGTATCTCAAAATTTAGATACAGATCTGAAAAAAAAATTTGTTGAACAATCAAAATAATTATGCAAAAAACTCAAGTATGATGAACAATGCCATAAAGAATTTTGACATTCTAACGATTAATTTGACCGTCCTACGTAATTATTTTGATAATCAACAAAATTATTTTTAAATCTGTTATTTAGCTAAATTTTTTTTATGACACTTCAGCAAAAAATCTTTTTATGTAGTATTAGAGTCTTCATGAAACATATAGCATAATAACTACGAGTAATTCTACAAATTTTCTATGCTGTCTTCAGTAGATCACTAGGTTTTTCAACAACGATTTCCCAGTAGCATACTTTCTTGACAATTTCAACTCGACTCGTTGGCAGTTAGTAATGTATTACAAGAACAATTCATGATACATGAAACGATACCGAAATATATTTAAAAGTCGATTTAATCTTAAGAGAATTAAAATTTAATTCGATTCGTATCTGGTAAATTCTCTTTATTTGAAATTATATACAACACACAAAAAATTATCGAAATCGATTAGAGATTAATCTTCGTATTAAACAGTGGGTCAAGTTTATGTTTGAAAAGCACATGTAAGTAACGACAGCCTACAGATTGATTTACGAACGAATAATAGAAGGAAGATAAATCGCTGTCGCACTTAGCGGGTACATCGAGTCACTCGAAATAATCGCGAGGCTCCGTTACGCTGATAAAAAAATGATTACAAATCTTTGATCCGAAAAACACAATCATGAAAATTGTAAATATTTTGAAATATTTCGAAAGAATTACGTTTTCTTCGTCGGATGCGATTAACCATTACGTGCAGTGAACAAACGTGGGAATTTCTGAGAGATCAGTGACAGTGACACTATGACATCCGCAATCCAAAGAAGAACTCGTTATACTTATACGCTGTCACGTACGTAAGCGATTTTATAATCGTGGGAAAGCGTAAATAGTGCGAATCAAATAGAAAACGTGAATACGACAACGAAAACAGAAGCATTGAAAACCAAAGTGAAAATTAGATGGTATTTAAACAAGGCTATTCAGTATAAGCCAGTAAACGCAAATGTTCGTATTATACAAAAATATATATTGACAGTATACATATATTGTGGTTAATTACAATATTCACAACAAATATCGGGGATTTAACTTTTACTTAAGATTTTCTTCAATCTATATTATATGAATATTATATTACACCATGCCTTTAATATCAATATCGGTTCATTATATATTGCCAAAGAATAAAGATAAACATCATATAAATAATTAAAAAATTCGAATAACGATTGAATGAAACTTAAGAGTAAATCAAGGTAAATATAAAATGACAAAGAGGTAAAAAAGAGATAGAATAAAAAAATGAAAAAAGTTGTGCTAATTAAAGTAATTTTGAAATGCTGTTTGATTTCATAAATATTTATTAGAACGGAAAATATACGTACATTCATAAAACACTCTCACGTAAATGTCACGAGTGATTTACGAACATTCTACGGTACGAGATCTTACAATTAATGAAGTTGCATCATAAAATCGCGACTTTAATATCCTTCGCCATTTAAAGAAATGCAGTACGCAGCATCCATTCTATAAATGCTACTTTCGACTTATTTCCTCGACCCGTAATTACACAAGTGTAAACACAATCGTATGGGCAATGCGAGTAACGCAGAAATTATGCGCATTCGCGATTTAATGTAATAGTTATTCATAATGGATAAACAATTGGAACAGGAAGTAAAGCAGGAAGTAAAACCAGATATTAGCATCAAGCAGAAAAAATTGAATACGTTGAAATTTGCGATATTGTATTAACATTCGTGTGAAATAAATATTTATTGAGGCATTTAAATTGAAGCAAAATTTATATGTAGATATACGAGCAATATAAAAAATTAAATTGAAATATTTGTTAATAATGATATATGATACACATCCAATTCTCACAATAAACAAATCTCGTATAACTTTGACAGTCATAATTTTAGATTCTATGTTCCAAAAGAGAGAAAGTAAAACTTACTTCATTAGTATCGGATAATTTAAAAAAAAATATCGCAACATTTGCGATCATAAGTAATATATATGATTGGGATTTTAATTATATATATATATCTCGATTAATTATTGTTTTGAATTTGCTTAAAAACAGATGACAGAATAGATATAAAGTGTAGGTTCAAAGACGAAAGCTTTTAAAATTTAATACAACGATGAGCATGTTAAATTGAAAATAAACGAATGATAAAATTCAACAGATTGCGAAGACTCGTCTTCAAAGTTCTCCATACGTCGGAGAAGGAAAACATAAGCTATTACTTAAGCTGTTACACGACTCTGACTGAAGGCCAGGGTCGTGGCACGCGAGACTTATGCAGTTCAGAATCCCACGGTCCTGATAGCCGGTCATGCAATCAAACATGATCTTCGCGCTACAAGTAACCCGGAAAAAGTGTCTCCAGGGAAAAATATTTATGCAAATTCATTCATATCGTACCAAGTAACAACAAAGTGTATTAAATGTAGAAATTAAAAAGTTCTATTTGCGAATGACTTGTGTAAAAGATATGGACAATGATTTAATTAACAAACATTATATGCAACCCCCAGATAATATTCTATGAAAGAGTGAAAAAACAGTGTGGTCAAGCAAAATTGTTTCTCTTAATAATTTATTTAGTTTAGTGTCGTGTATTTGTGTTATAAAAGTAAAATTCGACGATAATCTGACGATAAATAACAATGGGAAATACGAGATCACAACCTTGCGGACGAAGCAAAACTCTTTATTTATTCTATCTTATCCACCGAACATGGAACGTCGTCATAGATCGGAAGGATCAAGATCGTTGTGACGATACCGATAGAGAAACAGACTTATCATCAAGATGCAGCACTTGCAACGTATGCGATTACCGACGGGACAGTCTGATCTTCGAAAGGTAATATAAAACTACAACCGATATTTACGATCGATAAATTTAATACTGCATTACCTGCAATAAATTGGTTAGTAATTATATCGACTGTTGAGAAATTTATATTGACATTCGATAATGTCCACATTCTTCAATTTCCAAATCATTAGGCCTGTTTGTTAATCACAATAATTTATCCAGAATTATGTTATCATATATTTCTATATTACTTTCATTTGTTCTAAAATTAAAAGTTTATGTCCAGAATTACGTTATCATTTCTATATTACTTTCATTTGTTCTAAAATTAAAAATATATGTTCATTATTATGATTTTAATTAAAGAGCATTACTAGAGAGAAAAACGTTCTTAATCCATATAATTCTTTATAATTAATTTCTAATTCTCTAATAATTTTTTTTACTTTAAAAAATCAATGATAATAAAAATGATATTTATAAATAAATGCTTTATAATGAACGAATGTAATTTATTTTCGTAAAATTGTAATTATTTTGTGTAAAAAAAAACAATATGTATGAGAAACATAAAAATTTTCACAAATTAAGCATTGCTTTTTTTTACGTTTCCATTCAAAATGTATGGAATATATAAACTTTCATATCCGTGAAAACTACCAATTTTTGTCGTACGCGTATCCGATAGGAAATTATCCGTAGAAACCGTTTTAGCTTACATCAAGCGTTTCACCTAGATCGATAATTCCAGTTTTAATACATGATCCATCCAATGAAACAACATTACATCTATAATTGTACATGTCACACATATTTTAGACCTACTTTAAAGAATCTAGTTTGTAGACTTTATGATGAAAACTTTATTTATAATTTTATATGTCGAGTATATGTTTTTTCGAATTGTTATTTCAATGTAATTTTATAAATCAGATGAAATTTATTACGACATATAATTTCTTTATTTAAGGAACCAACTAATAGTAAGACAGCAAATATAAATGGGTAGATAGAAAAAGAGAAATAAGGAGCAAGAGCAACAGAATATTCTTTTTTCTTTTTATTTGAATATTGTACCACTACTATCTCAAATTGTGACGTTAGTGAGGAAATATACCTACAATAAAAGTTCTTGCAATTAAATTACACTTAAATAGAAATATTTCCGATAAAATATTTTTGCGACAGACTAGACTTATAAAATATACCAAAAATTATCTTCTTGTTTCGGGGAGAAATTAAAACATATTTATTTCTATATATTATTAATTTGATAGTTTGTCATAATTGTATATAAGCATGGCTCATTTTGTTTTTTAATACGCATAATTCATATCTAAATATGTAACTATTTATTAATTATAACAAAAGTTTTGAATTTTCGGTATATTTTACAAGTTGATTGTTTTATTGTTTTATTGAAACATTTTCATATTAATGTATTTTGTAACAATTTCGATTGTATATTTTCTCGTTTCTAACAGTACTGACATCACAATCTGAAATAGTAGTAGTGGCTAATAAACAGGAGCTTTAACACATAAGCGATATATGAACTTTATAATCGATTTTTCTTATACAACTCGTAAATTTGACGAGTCACGTTTATAGAGCGTTTTGATTTACCTGCGGCAATTTTACATTTCCGTTTTATGCTTATTCTACACGCATAACGTATAGAAAACATTTGATTATCAACTATACATCGAGGATGCACGTACGTGTATGTCCCTTTCGTGGCATCGTAGCGCGCATGATGTATCGCGAGTAAGGCACTAGATATGTAGGTATTCTCATCCGCCATCTTGGTTCCATCTGATTGATAGGTTACAGTACGATTAGTGTTTAAGATATACAAAGGTATATGTTAAAAAGAGCCCAAATTTTGATAAAATACAATCGAATCGATCCGTTTTCGCGTAAAAATAAAGATTTAACAAGAAAAAAATGTCACTCTGTCCTGCGAGATATTAATCCTTAAAGATCCTTAAGGATTAATATCTCTGTTTGCGAAGCAGAGCGATACCTTTTTCTTGTCGAATCTTTATTTTTACGCGAAAATGCATCGATTCAGTGTATTTTTATCAAAATTTGAGGTGAGCGGGTTCCTCTTAATTAACATTTACCTCTGTCACTAATCGTACTATGACAATCAAGTAGAACCAAAATGGCGGATAGGAATACCTACATATCTAGTGCCTTAATCGCGAGATAAACTCGGATAAACTCTGCTTACATTACGAGCAGGTGAAGGCGCCTCAGCGCGCGATGCTCCGTGTTACATCGTGCCGGTCGCGCCGCGCCGCGCCGCGCGCCGGTGTCAGTAAACCTCCAACCACCTTACGGTGCGGAGTTACAGCGTGGTCAATCCGAGTGTGATGATAAATTCCTCCGGTAGCGCGATGCCGATTGTTTCGACAACTGTTGGCCGATTGATGCACCGGGTCGCGATTAAAACCGAATAATTCTTCCGCACGCTCTCAAGCACGCGTCCATGTGTCCGAGATTGGAAACGTCTAATTAAGGTAAATTAATCCTAATCCTATCATGTCGCACACTTTAACTCGTGTCAAGTTTGCAACACAACTTTTTTTAGGGATTAGTTTGCGATGATAAATGAGATCAACCTTTAGAGGGTGGAGATTAAAATCTTAACTCTTTCTTGATTTAAGATTGGTTACAGTTCATTATTTTATTGTATTCCTTGCCTCGAAATATGACACTGTATTGTCTTAACACCACTACACACACACACGCACGCACACACACACACACACACACACACACACACAC